GTTAACTTGGTCGCTTCTCTTTCTCTTGCTGAACTTTACTCTTTTGTGTTTTTAGCTTCCCCCATTCACTCTATAGCAACACTTTTACCTAAGCTAAAGATCCCTGCAGTGCCCAAAATACTGTGGGGTTTGCTCATCAAGTAGGTTACTGCCAGTACAATTGTGATGTGAGAGTGGGGATAGGGACGTGCTTAATCTGGGTAACAGCTTGAAAGTGCTGCTTGACCCAGTCCATGGAGCCCAGGGGCATATAAGGAGAGTCAGCTTGAAAGTGCTGCTTCATCCAGCCCAGTGAGTCCAGAGACATATAAGGGGTCAGCTTGACAGTGCTGATTGACCCGGTCTGCTCAGACTTGCTCTGTTAATGTATATGTGGGTGTGTGTTCATCCAGTTCTGGGGCTGGAGTAACCCAACCCTAGAGAACCTAGGTCCTGCAGGATAGCTCCATTGGGAGGGGACTTGCAGAAGGGAGAAGTAGAGCTCCATATGAAAACACAAGTGACACAAGCAGTACATTGATAGGATTACAGAATCCCCTTCCCCAGAAGAGTAACCCAAATAAATGAGCATACCCCAAAGTAATGGGCACATCTGGTAATGGGCACATCTGGTAACGGCAGGCGAGCCACTGGCCTGCAGAGGGTGCTCTGGGCTGGAAAGAGCTAATTCCCAGGACCACCAGCAGGAGGCGCCGTGCCAGTGAGTCATCACCCACCACATCTTCATTCACAGAAAGTCTCCCCACTCCACTAGAAAATAGCCCAAACCAACCACCTCAGTCCAAACATCTGATCCAGACTGCGTGTTCTGAATTGAAACTCTGTGACTCAAGCTCATATCTCAGGGCATGTCTACATTACGCGCTGGATTGACGGGCAGCGATCGATCCCGTGGGGTTCGATTTATCGTGTCTAGTCTAGACGTGATAAATCGACCGCCGATCGCTCTCTTGTTGACTCCGGTACTCCACCAGGGTGAGAGGCACAGGCGGAGTCAACAGGGGAGCGTCAGCCTTTGACTTACCGCAGTGAAGACACTGTGGTAAGTCGATCTAAGTACGTTATTCATGTAGCTGAAGTTGCGTAACTTAGATCAATTTCTCCCTCCCCCGCCCCCCAGTGTAGACCAGGCCTTAGTCTCCAACCCTTCTCTCTAAGTTTACACTCAAATGGACATTTGGAACCTGATCCTCAGCAGGTGTAAACCAATGTAGATTCACTGAAGTCAATGGACACTGATTTACACCAGCTGAGGATTGACCGTTGCAGTGTATATTTTTAGGACCTAATTCTCATCTCACTAAGACTCATTTACACTTGTTTAAGTCCATTGAGTTTGGCGGAGTTACTTATGTGAGAGGAGGATCAGGCCTTAGTTTCTATACTTCTACTTGTAGGGTCCATACCATTGTGAGGCCATTTGACAACTTCTCCCCTCACCCTACAAAAAATGTTGTGGGGAAACAAAGCTTGGAAGGAACTGGGATGACTTCAGCCTCGCTCTGCAAAATGGATTCTGATGGCTGGAGCAGCAGTGCAGCACTACGGCATGCTCATAACTTGAGCTCTGCTCTGTGAGTAGTGGAAATGGGGGATGGGAGTGTTTCTGGTGACTCCAGATCGGCCTGGGAGGTGAGCTCACTTCTTTGGAAAGTATTCCATGGTCATAAAGGAAGTATCAGCTGGGCTTCAACACATAGGCTATTCCATAAGCACCATCTAGAGACAGTTGAGAGAACTCAGTCACAAACCTAGGAATGGAAATGCTGATCTACAGTAGGCGCCCTTCCAACCCTAACAGTTCTAGGATTCTCTGCCACTGAAAGAGAGAGTCTAAGCTCTCTTGCCTGGAAAATTACTGAAAATGAATTGCCTGTGAGTTTTAAAACAAACAAACACGGAGGCTGTTGCATCAGAAAAGTTGCTAATATAAATGCTGACTGGTATCCTGTTGTGCCTTGCAGCAGGTCTTTCCACCTGGGAGACTGGGAAGGAAGGGGATCCAAAAACAAAAGAGAAGACTGAATAGCTCTGAAAACCTCCCTTCTCCTTCAGCTCTCAGGGGTCTCAGAAAAGACCACCACAATGAAGTCAAAACCAAAGCTGCCTCTGCCCCAACAGGTGGAATGTTTACTGAGCTGAACTAGCCCAAGGGAAACAAACACTATTTGTTTTTCATTCCTACCTTTGATTTCTTTTCAAACAAAACAGGTTTTTGTAGGTAATGAGGTAGTAGGGAGAGTCACAGATGAACTTTTGTTACTGTTAAAAGAACAGGAGTACTTGTGGCACCTTAGAGACTAACAAATTTATTAGAGCATAAGCTTTCGTGGGCTACAACCCACTTCTTCGGATGCATATGCATATGTACTCCTGTTCTTTTTGCGGATACAGACTAACATGGCTGCTACTCTGAAACCTTTTGTTACTGTTGGCAGTTAGCATGGTCCTCCCCACCATGGCAGGAAAATAGGACTCTAGATTACTAAGGTGTGGAGGGAGACTGAGCTTTCCGAGCACTCCTTGTATATGCACATTTGCTCTGCCCCGCTGCACTGCAGCCTAGTGCCATCTATCTGTGTATTCATTCCAGCGTTTTAAAAGTAGTATCTGATCACCGGTCCACATAAAACCAAGAGCAAGGTCCCTAGCAGGCTTCATGGAGTCTACAGCAGGTCTCCCTTTTTAGGGACAAAACGCTGTTTGAAGTAACCTGTTTTGTGTTTTTTAGAGATGTTATTAGATTTCCTTATTTGGGGGGAGGCTGGTAGGGGTGACAGTGTTGTGAGTGCCTTTCTTAATATGAAAAGGCTTTCACCGAGCACAAGGACTTTTCCCATGTGCTAGTGCAATTCATACCTCCAGGAGCAGAGGAGGAAACAGAACACAAATCACAATAAGGTTTACTTGCTCATTGTCCTTGTCTCTTTACTTTCTTGCTCTTGCCGCTTGTGCCTTCCCACCAACTCCTCACTGCTAGTATGAAAGCTTTTTCTTTGGTGGCTCATGACATCTGAAACAACCTCTGCCTTATGACTCTCTTTTGAAATACCTCAGAATATCCCATTTTGAACTTTTTGTCCAGGTCTCATCATTCCACCATTCCTCTGTCATTTAGGAGTTTGCATTCAAGGGATACAGTTTTAGACACTTGATGGATAGATTGTATAGAAGATATTATACAAAGTAAAATTGTATTGCACTCTATTTCCATTTTCTGCAGCAAACCCCAATGAATGCCCCTAGTTGTAAAAGCTGTCCATAGCTGAAGGTCAGTTTAAATCAACAGGATTGATTACGGAGCTATCATAGCTAGGAGGATTAAACCTCTATCATTGTTAAAAGCAGCAGTTCAACAAAAAAAATATTATTTTACCCAAGAGAACAGAGTTGACATACAACAGGTGGGCCCAGTGTAAAGCCCAGCTCCTGCAATGAACTCTGTGAAGGTGGACACCTGTGCCGTCATGGAGCTCATTGTTGGCTCAGGTTTTGATTTTCAGAATTTAGGCCCCGATCCCCTTGTCTCTTAAAACTAAGAATCAAACGATTTAAGACGTGTGTGGGAAATGGGATGCTTAAAAGCATTAATAGTTAAATGGGCCAAAGTGGGGTTTGAAGAGAGACAGCTCAGATTTGGCCCAAAATGTAGATTTGTGTAAAACCCAAACAAGTAGGCCATCAAAATGTTCCTATAATTAAAAAAAAAATCCACGCATGGAAATAGTTGTTTTCAAATAAACACCTGCAATAGCAGCATTTCCCAAACTTTCGAAAGCTCAGTCCTCTTCAGACAAATGAAACCAATTGTACCTGCTTACAACCCAGCTGGGTTGTTAAGGGCCTCCCCAAAACGAGCAATGACTCAGATGTAAATCTTCAAAATATACTTCATCTCCATTTTAACAGGCTTTGATGAACAGTGACATAGTTAACATGACTGACATTTAAAGTACCATGGCATCTGAGTTAGCACCCACCAAAATGAAGGAACAGGACAACTCACACCACAGAGTTATTGTTCCAGGCTCTTTGCAAACTCAGGTAAACATAGCTGCATGGGTTACACTTTGAAAGTTTTGTTTGCATCAGAACAGCTAGAGGCTTACCGTTTTTAAAAATGAAAGCTAAGACTCTGGAGAGCATTGCAAAGCTTGTCTGCAACCAAGGCTAATCCTTTATGCATATGCCCCACTGTGGGAAACACCATTGGATTAGGAACCAATGCTTTTGCAGACTGGAGAACCTGAAAATAAAATTGACTAAAAACAAATGGGAAACCGACTTCTTTGATTTTCGTGGCCAAATGGGGAAGAAATGCAAATAGGAAAGAAATAACGATCAGAAAACAGTGACTGTAAAAGGGATCTTTACCATCCTCCAGTGTTCTAATCTGTGTTACCAATACAGTGAAGGGGATGTGTTTGTTAGAAGACATGATTAGTCTGATAGTGTCCTGCGTTTAGGATAAGTGGGAGGGTCCTCGCTCTGTTTGCAGATGTTCTCCAGAGGGCAGCAATACCGGCCGGAGGGAAGGAAGGCCCAGGTGGCAGGAAGCACATAGGATTCCCCATCCACGTCAAAAAGCAGACGAAAATGCTGCGCCCCGTCACCTTTCCCTCTCCCTCCACACACAGCACGCGTTTGCCCCACCTCCCCGCCCCAGCCTCCGGCGGGCAGAGTCCGAGCTAGGCAGGGAAGAGCGATTCCTCCTTTCTGTGGGCAGCGATACCACTCGCCGGCGCTGGGAGGTAGCAGCCCGCCCGTGCCCCCGTCCCGATGAGCGCAGGGCTCTGCCCCGCAGCTGGCAGCCGCGGCGCGGGGACCGCAGCTCCGCCCTCGTCCCTTTCCGCTGGACGAAGCTGTGCAGCGAGCTGCGGTGGGGCCACATGGCAGAGAGGGAGGAGGGGCAGGATCAGGGCTCCCCTCCTGGGCCGGGAAGGCTCCGCATCCCGGCAAGTCCCGCGGTCCCAGCCCTGCCCGCCCCCGGGGAGACTCACTGTGGTTCAGGGGGTGCCCGCTGGTCTCCGCCGACGCCACCACCTCCAGGTAGGCGGCCCAGAGCCCCACGATCAGCACCCCGAGGGCCAGCAGCAGCCAGAACCGCCTCCGCAGCACCTTCCCCAGCGGGCGGCTCCTCATCCCGCTGCTCAGGTCGCCCAGTGCCAGCCTCCCGAGGGGCTCCGGGACATGCTGTGCCCCGGGGGGGATCCCCGCCTCAGCCTTCACCTGCTCGCCCCACAATCTCTAGGCTCGGGCTCCCCTCGGGCTTCCCCCTCCCGGCTCTGCTCGCCCCCTGGCTCTTTCCTGCCCCTTCCCCTCTCAGGCGCTGGTGCCCGACTCCCACCCTGTCCCTCTCTGCAAGCGCGGCCGCTGAACCCGGCTTCCCAGTCTCCTCGCGCTCTGCAGCCCCAGGCACACCCCTCTCCAGGGGCGGGATCTCGAAGGGACTCCAGCCTCCTTCTCTTGTTACAGCGGCTCTTCTCCCCTGTCTCTCTCGCGCCGCGCTTGGCCCTGCTGGTGGCTCAGGCGGGGGAGCCCTGGGCTGGGCGTCAGCTGCCCCGCGCGAGCCACATTCGCCCTCCTGCCAGCCACCCCCGGCGGGCTTTCCCTGGAGCCTGGCAACCTGGGTGCGGAGGGAGAGGATCCCGCTATGTGTCCTGCGCTGAAGGGGGGAAAGGACAAGGGGCCTGTCCCAGTCACCGGAGAAGGCTATAAAAGCCTGGGGCTGGGGAATCCTCTCCCCGAGAAGGTTTTGGCTAATCCTTGCCCTTAGTGCAATCTGGTGCTTTCTCCGAGAGGGGGGAGGGAGAAGAGGATGTTCTTGGGGACAGCCAAGCCACAGAGGGGAATGTGCTCCCACAAGGCATTCTCTACTCCCCCTCCCATTTGCCCCCTCAGATCAGCAATGGGGGTTCCTTAGTGCATGCAGGGGGGCATCTCCCACTCTTTGGAGTCCTATGTGGCCTGATTTTTCAGAGGTCCTAACCACCCACACAGCTCCTGTTATTGAATTCAGGGAGCTACAGGTGCCCAGCACCTATGCAATTTTGCAAATCAGGCCAGTGCAGACTGCTCTTTACCCAGTATTGTTGATTGGCTGCAGTGGCACATTGAAGCCTCAGTTTTGCCTAGGGTGACCAGACAGCAAATATGAAAAATTGGGATGGGGGTGGGGGGTAATAGGAGCCTATATAAGAAAAAGCCCCCAAAATCGGGATTGTCCCTATAAAATCGGGACATCTGGTCACCCTAGTTTTGCCTACCCAATTTCAAATTTGACTTTTGGCCACTCTGTTCAAAAGGAAGAGTCTAGCTAAGATCCCAGGGTCCTGGCAGTTTATTTCATGGCTGGAATCCCCAGCACCAGCCACTTACCCATAAGGTGCTGTGGACAGTCTCATCTGGTCAGTGAAGCTCACTCAGGTGTGAGGATCTCTGAGAGAGCAGCTTTTGTCGACTATGGGGAACTTGTGACAGTCTGTACCCAGGGAACACCCTGCACCCCCATGTTCATCCTTATAATATGATTGTGTGGTATCCAGTGCAAAGTTTGTCATGTTGGGTGTCCTCGGAAGGCTCATGATGCACTGAGCATCGTTGTTATAGTAATGTTATAGGTTGTAATTTCTTGTATATAGTTATGAGGCTGAAAAATGTATCCTCGTGGCTTAAAACAAGCCCAGGCAAAACTCTCCAGGAGCAGAGGCCCAGGCAAAACTCTCCAAGAGCAGAGGGGCAGTTCACATCTCATCAGGGCATGAATGGGACAGACCCAGCCCAGCCTCACAGGAACAAAGGACGCTGATTGGCCTAGGCAGCAACAAAGGATCTGTTGGACTCTCGAGTGAGTCACCCCCCTTCCCTTGGTTGGATTGGGACTACGATGAGGTAATGCTCACCGGACATTGAAGTGCGGGGGGGGGGGACGACAAAACATGATAAAAGGGAGAGAGATTTGCCATGCTTGCTCTCTCTTCCACCTCTATGTATAGACACCACCACCAAGTGACTGATGCGCTGATCAAAGGGGAGAGCCTGGCTGAAGGGCAACAAGACAGCCTGTGGTGAGAAGCATCTAAGTTTGTAAGGGCATTGAAAGTGTTAAGATCAGCTTAGAATGCATTTTGCTTTTATTTCATTTGACCAAATCTGACTTGTTGTGCTTTGACTTATAATCACTTAAAATCTATCTTTTGTAGTTAATAAATTTGTTTGTTTATTCTGCCTGAAGCAGTGTGTTTGGTCTGAAGAGTGTCAGAGACTCCCCTTGGGATAACGAGCCTGGTGCATATCAATTTCTTTGTTAAATTGATGAACTCATATAAGCTTGCAGCGTCCAGCGGGAATAACTGGACACTGCAAGATGGAGGTTCCTAGGGTTGTGTCTGGGACCGGAGATATTGGCTAGTGTCATTCGGTTGCACAATCCAAGCAGCAGCTGGTCAAAAGTGCTCACTAACGTAGCTGGGAGCAGCTTAGATTCTAGAGGCTGTGCGTGAACAGCCCGGGAGTTGGGGTTCTCACAGCAGAGCAGGGTAAGGCTGGCTCCCAGAATCAAGGATTGGAGTGACCTAGCAGATCACCGGTCCAAATAACACCACATCATCACAAACCCTTTGTAATTATTTTTAGAACCAGTAGAAAAATGTTTGTAAATTTCCTTGGTGTAGACATGGGCTGAGTGTGAAGAATCAAGCTGGCCACACAACAGTCATATTAGCTGAATCCATTTTTATAGTGGTTTCAGTCTAACGTGGGTTTAAGATGCTCCTCAGGAGGGACGAGGCTATTGGCATGTAACCATGTTTCAAAAGCTGTTATCTAAAATGGACTGCACCTCATTTTACCTGGCCCATGCCAATCAGAGAAGTGTCCTTTGTATTGCATTCACACCTACAGACCCCAGCCAGGGATTGGAGCCCTCTTTGTTCTAGGCACAGTACATACATAATGAACCTTGTTAGATTGAAACTCATTTTAAAAATGAGTTCAGCTAACGTGGACATTGGAGGGCACAGGAGGCCTCTAACTTCTTTATGTGGTGTTCTGCCTGACTCGGAGGACAGGAGAGATGAAACTTGCTTTATGTTTAGCTACAAACAAAGTGCCGGGGCCCTTCAGGGAGCATGATGGGGCATGCAAATTAAATGGCTAAAATCACATTGAAAAAAAGAAATGTCCTTTTTAAAAATCATTGTAGTGCCCCAAAGCCATTCCTTTACAGCAGCTTAGTGAAACAAGAGGTGGCTTCACACCCTAGTGTTGCTTGCTGCTACGGCAGAAAGAATAAGAGGGGGGAAGGATTATCTGCTCAGATTATTTTGAGATTGATTTGCCCTAAATTATGATTGCATTTAAGTAATAAAATGATGCTGGAGGCCCTCTGTCTATTATTAGTTATTTAGCACAGATGATGTACTTGGTGCAGGACAGTACACAAAAATAAAGACAGCTGCTGCCCCCAAAGAGCTCGGAATTTAAAAGGCAGACATAGAAGACAGGATGCACTGGAAAATCGAGACGGGGCTGGGGGGAAGGAAGATTAATTATATTTAATTATAAACCCACTTCTTATGAACAACAGGTCTGTGAGTGCCTCATGACGTTGTAAAAGGAGTTTCTCTCTCTCTCCTTATCCAGAGGGCTTTTATTGTGGGAAATTTACAACAAGCAGAGAGATTTATATTTTGTTCTGGAGGTGGAGAGAATTGAGGTGGTTCTGATCTCATTTGGAAGGGAATTCTGCGGGCTGACAAAATAGCTTTGTCTCCTGTGCCTCCAAATCTCACCCTTGTGGATGGCTCTTCCAATCTTCCTATGGAATGTGGCTGTCATGGGAAGTCACTGCTGCAAATGCAGAGTGGCTGCTCATGCATGTGGGGTCAATTCAATGGAGGTCTGTCATAGGTTTCACCCCCACTCTGGACTTTAGAGTACAGATATGGGGACCTGCATGTGAACCTCTAAACTGAATTACCAACTTAGATCTGGTTTTGCTGCCACCACTCCCAAGTTCTAACTTCTTTCCCTGGGTTGCACTGAGAGACTTTTTCACCAATTTCCTGGTGAACACCGATCCAAACCCTTGGATCTTAACACAAGGAGAATTTAACCATCCCCCTTTCTTTCCCCCACCAATTCCTGGTGAGCCCAGATCCAACCACCTTGGATCTTAAAACAAGGAAAAAATCAATCAGGTCCTTAAAAAGAAGGCTTTTAATTAAAGAAAAGAAAGGTAAAAGAAAACCCTCTGGGAGAGATTAGCATACCAGCTACTCTCACAGACAACAGATTTAAAACACAGAGGATGTTCCCCTGGGCAAAAACTTAGTTACACAAAAAATACCCAATTTGATTATTCCCTAATGCCCAAGACAAGTTACAAAGAAGATAAACATAAACCTATTTATTTCCTTTACTAATACTCACTACTTGATAAGAGGCTGAATTCTGGAGCTTTCCCACTCCGGTCAAATCTTAAACCGAAACTAAACAAAGGGAACTTCCCTCCTTCCTTTTGAACCACCTTGTCCCCCCATTGGTTCCTCTGGTCAGGTGTCAGGTGAACTTCTTAACCCTTTACAGGTAAAAGAGGCATTAACCCTTAACTATCTGTTTATGACAAGGTCTTTGAACAAAAGGACTGACTCTTTAAACAATATCACCCATGATTTACTGGGGAGCTAATGTAGTGAGCGAAGTACAGGGTGATGTGCTCTAGGTGGCCTGTGTTACTAAGCCAGCAGGCTGCTGCATTCTCAACTACCTGAAAATGCTTCACCCTGAAAAGCTTCATTCCTAGGTACAATAGCTATATTGGAAGTCACAAATGTGAAGTCACAACGATCAAAGTCTGAATCTGCCACTGTGGGGTGCAGCCTCCTAGTCAGCTGTTGGTGGAATTTTAGCAGACCTTGCTGTCTGGATATCCAGTAGCCATGAGTAGCCCTAAGAAAACTTGAGCCTGTGAGCCATCTTGATGATCTGAAAGGTGGACACCGGGGATGATATAGTGGTGATGGTGAGTTCTTCGTAGTATTTCCCTCTCTCCATTAGCATTAACTCCATCTTGTTTGGGTTTATCTTCAGCCAGGTGCTCCTCATTCAGGCACTGACCTCTCTTGGGAGAGGCCCTTGTCCATCAGCACCAACAGTAATAATTCTGTGTGGTGGTATGAATCCCATGTGGGAAAGAAGCCTTTTATGAGCAGTGGATAGGTGAAGTTGAAATAGGCTCTTTGCT